CCGATGTACTGTATTATTTTTTGTTCTTTGTTACAACTCAGTGCTTCTGATCTGCAGGCTCTTTGCAGCCACTTTTTTTCTACATTTTGCAGGGTGGGTTGCCTGATGGTGACAATGGCGGACCATGCCTGGTCAACGATTGTCAGCAGCACCACTTATAGTCTCCAGTGGAAGCACATCTGAGAAGATAACAATGCAGAAGAGCAGTTGGGAAACAGGGACAGAGCATTGTCATCTAAATACATTAAGGGATCCGTTTATAAAACATTCTTTGGACGAATGTCACACACATGGCTGAAGGGTCTGCGGTAGGCTGGGTGGAACTGTGGGAGGTTGTTGGGGGGCACTATGGCATCTGAAGGCACTGTGGAAGATAAAGGGATCTTAAGATGATGTTGTCGGGTAGGTGAGAACCACTCTTCTAGGGGCTTTCGTCCAGACAGCGCAAATTTTCCCCAAATTTTCTGTAATAGATTCATTCATATGATTGTCAACTTCATCTAGTGGACAAAATGTGGTATATTTTTCTTATTTATAGGCATTTCCGGAAAACTATACTGGACACTACCATCCAGTACTGTGGAGATGCTAAGCTCTGCATTTGGACACTGGATTGGCTGCTTCTGAATTCCAGAGGGCTTCCACAGGCTGTGGCATAGCTGAGCAAATGTGAAAATGAAATGTGAAAGCCTACATACAAGTCCTGAGCTTGCTGATTGGACAGGGAAAAAAATCATCACCCCACTGATGAGATCAACACTCTGCTCACTTTTCCCGTCAGAAGGCTACCAGTGCTAGACTGACAGCACTGTGTAATGCAATTCAGCCTGATCAGCTCAGAATTCTCTCATTATTATTATTATTATTATTATTATACAGGGTTTATATAGCGCCAACAGTTTTCTCAGCGCTTTACAATATAACGGGAGACAATACAGCAACAGTACAGTTCAATACAAGAGGGATAGGAGGGCCCTGATCCTGGGAGCTTACAATCTAAGAGGGAGGGGCTAGTGGTACAAAAGGTAATCACTGTGGGGGATGGACTGGTAGGAGGAATAGAAGATTCCATTATTAGCTGAAGGCAGGATAGGCTTGTAACGGACCCCAGACACCCACGACTGGGTATCTCCGTCAAGAAGTTGCTTCTCAGGCTCTGGCACACGAGACCAGTGAATCTGGCTATTGTTACCCCAAGATCCAGGCGACACCAGATTTGAAGTAAACCAGAGGTAGACTACTTTATTTGAACACAGATACAAGATATATACACTCAAGGGACAGTCTCCCCTCCCTGCATAATGACACAGGGCGGGGCAATCTACATTTAGTAACAAGAGACACACAAGTATTCAAACTTCACACCAGCAGACAGTCCCATCAGGAGGGAGGGCTGCTGGAGACACCCCCCCACTAAGCTAATACACATAAACACATACATCCCATAATAGTTTGCTTCCAAGCCAGACAAACAATAGAACAATGAGATGCAGCCACATGACATTAAACAATCAACAACCCCTCACCCCACCTATCTCCTAAACATGTCTACACAGTCTGAGACAAAGCCCATACAATATTAGGACAGATCACCCTGTACCCCTAACAGGCACAGGGTGACTTACACATAAGAGGGATATGGGGAGCTGAGACAGGGGTCTCCCCACCTCTCCAAAGTGAGCTGGGTTCCATGAGCCTCCAACCCAAAGTGACTCCCGTCACAAGGCTTCCCTGAAGAGATAGGTTTTCAGAGATTGCCTAAAAGTGAGCAGAGTAGGCGATAGTCTGATAAATTGGGGTAGAGAGTTCCAGAGGATGGAGGAGGCTCAGGAGAAGTCCTGGAGACGAGCATGGAAGGAGGAGACAAGGGAGCTAGAGAGTAGGAGGTCATGCGAGGAGCGGAGGGGACTGTTTGGGTGATATTTGGAGACAAGATTGGTGATGTCATTTGGGGCAGAGTTAATTTGAAACTGAAGTGTAAAAGTCTACATCCAAGTCCTGAGCATGCTGATTGGACAGTGAAAAATTATCACCCCACTGATGAGGTCAACACTCTGCTCACTTTTCCAGTTAGAAGGTTACCAGTGCTAGACTCAATTGAGCCTGACCAGCTCAGAGTTCTCTCGTTTGAGTTCTGGTGTACAGAAGATTCCAAGAAGCTAATATGAAGACATATTCATGTCTACTCTACTAGGCTTTTGAGGCCTCCAGGCACACATTGGGCGCTCTGCAGGCAATAGGCATTCTGCAGCCAATGGACGCTTGACAAATTTTACAGATCAGCTGTAATAACCTGAAGAAAATGGGATCCTGGTGCAAGGAATCATATGATGAGCTTTCATAGAAGGCTTCCAACTTCTATTCTGGTGAAGGGTTCAAGAAGCTAAAATGAAGACATATTTTGTGTGCAATAACTCTACTAGGCTTTTGAGGCCTCCAGGCACACATTGGGCGCTCAGCAGGCAATAGGCGTTCTGCAGCCACTGGGCACTTGACAAATTTTACAGATCAGCTGTAAATAAAGTGAAGAAAATGGGATCCTGATGTAAGGAATCATACGATGAGCTTTCATAGAAGGCTTCCACCTTCTATTCTGGTGAAGGTCTTTTTTTTTTTCTCTCTTTGTTTTATTGAGCAGCGAGAGAAGGAGGAAAGGCTGCGAGACGAGCAGCCGATTTGATTTCCTGTGTTGGCGTAGTAAAAGGTTTTCTGAGGTGCGTACGGCGCAGGGTGAGAAATCACATTATTGTATTAAGTAGGAGATGCTCCATTCTGTTGACAGAACATCATTGGAGGCAGATGAAAGGTGTAAGGGTTCTATTACACTTCTGAAGGGTGCTAAATCACATCGAGAGGATGCGGTAAAAGGTGCCCTTATTTCCTTTTTATTTCCTCCCCACTTTCTCTCCCACATCTCACCCCACATCTCTATTAACACTTCCTAACTCTTTTCGATGCGAGGCCAAAAACCAGAATTTTTCTCTCCATTGCTTGTTTTGTTAAAGTCAAAGGGAGGCGATAATAGTTTTCCGTTAATTTAATGAATGTATTTTTAAAATTTGTATACGTTAGTAAAGCAAAACTTTCCTTTAAATCTGGAGCTGCCCAATGAAGTTCTTTCTCTTAACCACTAGATGTCCTCAGTCTTCCAAGTGGAATGATAGCTAGAGTCAACCCCGCTCCCAGGGTGTCATGGACACGCCCCCTGACGCAGTGTCATCACACCACTTAGGGAGGTGTGTTTCATGTTTCCCGGGCTCAGAATATTATGAATGGAGCACACCCCTCAGTCCAGGAGGAAGGACTGCCCACCACTGCTGCTAGATGAGAAGAGGAAGGACCCATAACATCACCTGACTGACATTAAGGCCTTGGAAAAAAGGTATGTACGGTATATATATATATATAGTGGGGATCGAAAGTTTGGGCACCCCAGCTAAACATTTGTATTAATGTGCATAAAGAAGCCAAGGAAAGATGGAAAAATCTCCAAAAGGCAGCAAATTACAGATTAGACATTCTTATAATATGTCAAACAAAAGTTAGATTTTATTTCCATCATTTACACTTTCAAAATAACAGAAAACAAAAAAATGGCGTCTGCAAAAGTTTGGGCACCCTGCAGAATTTATAGCATGCACTGCCCCCTTTGCCAAGCTGAGACCTGCCAGTGTCATGGATTGTTCTCAATCATCGTCTGGGAAGACCAGGTGATGTCAATCTCAAAGGTTTTAAATGCCCAGACTCATCTGACCTTGCCCCAACAATCAGCACCATGGGTTCTTCTAAGCAGTTGTCTAGAAAACTGAAACTGAAAATAGTTGATGCTCACAAAGCTGGAGAAGGCTATAAGAAGATAGCAAAGCGTTTTCAGATGTCAATATCCTCTGTTCGGAATGTAATTAAGAAATAGCAGTCATCAGGAACAGTGGAAGTTAAAGCAAGATCTGGAAGACCAAGAAAAATATCAGACAGAACAGCTCGCAGGATTGTGAGAAAAACAATTCAAAACCCACGTTTGACTGCACGATCCCTCCAGAAAGATCTGGCAGACACTGGAGTTGTGGTACACTATTCCATTATAAAGAGATACTTGTACAAATATGGTCTTCATGGAAGAGTCATCAGAAGAAAACCTCTTCTACGTCCTCACCACAAAAATCATCGTTTGAACTTTGCAAATGAACATATAGACAAGCCTGATGCATTTTGGAAACAAGTTCTGTGGACCGATGAGGTTAAAATTGAACTTTTTGGCCGGAATGAGCAAAGGTACGTTTGGAGAAGAAGGGGCACAGAATTGAATGAAAAGAACCTCTGTCCAACTGTTAAGCATGGGGTTGGATCAATCATGCTTTGGGGTTGTGTTGCAGCCAGTGGCACAGGGAACATCTCACGAGTAGAAGGAAAAATGGATTCAATAAAATTTCAGCAAATTTTGGATGGTAACTTGATGCCATCTGTGAAAAAGCTGAAGTTAAAGAGAGGATGGCTTCTACAAATGGATAATGATCCTAAACACACCTTGAAATCCACGGGGGATTACATCAAGAGGCGTAAACTGAAGGTTTTGCCATGGCCTTCACAATCTCCTGACCTCAACATAATTGAAAATCTATGGACAGACATTAAAAGAGCCGTGCGTGACAGACAGCCCAGAAATCTCAAAGAACTGGAAGACTTTTGTAAGGAAGAATGGGCAAAGATACCTCAAACAAGAATTGAAAGACTCTTGGCTGGCTACAAAAAGTGTTTACAAGCTGTGATACTTGCCAAAGGGGGCAGTACAAGATATTAACTCTGCAGGGTGCCCAAACTTTTGCAGACGCCCATTTTTTTTGTTTTCTGTTATTTTGAAAGTGTAAATGATGGAAATAAAATCTAACTTTTGTTGACATATTATAAGAATGTCTAATCTGTAATTTGCTGCCTTTTGGAGATTTTTCCATCTTTCCTTGGCTTCTTTATGCACATTAATACAAATTTGTAGCTGGGGTGCCCAAACTTTCCATCCCCACTGTATATATAAAAAGCTATCTCCTCTTCAGTCCATCATGAATGCTGATGTCAGACTCATCCACCTTTCTAACCATTCCCTATCTGCCACCCCTCTCTGCCAATCAATCCACTGGCCTCCACTCAGTGTCCTCCACCCATCTCTGCCAATCTCTCCACTGGCCTCCATTCAGTGTCCTCCACCCCTCTCTGCCAATCCCTCCACTGGCCTCCATTCAGTGTCCTCCACCCCTCTCTGCCAATCCCTCCACTGGCCTCCATTCAGTGTCCTCCACCCCTCTCTGCCAATCTCTCCACTGGCCTCCATTCAGTGTCCTCCACCCCTCTCTGCCAATCCCTCCACTGGCCTCCACTCAGTGTCCTCCACCCCTCTCTGCCAATCCCTCCACTGGCCTCCACTCAGTGTCTTCCACCCCTCTCTGCCAATCCCGTTGCCCAACGGATACAATTCAAAACAGTAACAATAACATATAAAGCCATTTATAACTCCGCCCCAAATTACATCGGCAATCTTGTCTCCAAATATCACCCAAACCGTACTTTCTGCTCCTCGCACAACCTCCTGCTCTCTAGCTCCCTCGTCTCCTCCTCCAGCTGTTGAAGTACTACAAGTCCCATCATGCCTCTGCCTCTGGACGTCTTGTCTGTGGCTGTCAGAGTCTTGCAAGGCTTCATGGGACTTGCAGTTCCTCAACACCTGGAGGGGCCATAGTTTGGACACCCCTTTTTTAGGGGATGGGGGTGTAAAACATTTATATGGGGTTCTGCTTTTTTTTTTGCATTGTTTTATAACATATACAAAAAGCCCACACATTAAGTATATGACAAATGATTCCCAGAGCACTCAGATTTAGCTAAAGTGACAGAATAACAGGAGATAGTTCCTTTAAGGCACGCCGTTTCTGATTGAAATAAGCTCTATGGAAATAGGGGAAAAAGTCAGTACTCATTTGCGTGTATAAATTTCATCTTGAGCCTTTGAACTCTGTAAACAGCAGGGTATTTGCAGCAAAGGAGATAGCAGGAAACATGTGAAATGGAGCCTAAATCACTTCCTGCTGGAACTAATGTTATGTGGTATTTAATCCTTCCAGTACTACATATTTAAAAACATTTTTAAAAATGTTGCGTAACAATAATTTTGAATCTTTACACTGTACAAACGTACAAACCACTACACTTAATACGCAGATATTCATGGTATAGTCAGATCTACGACACATGCTCTGGTGTGAAGAACCCATCGATCCATTACAGGCATGGCCCAGAATGTAGGAGAAATGTAAAGGGAGCAGGCTGGTTGTTTAAGCAATACATGACCCATGGGCCATGCTGGAGACTGGGATTTCGTAACCAGAAGCAGCCCTTGTTGGGCAGAGGATATTTAGAGGGTCACTATCGCGTATATCATTCATGGATATACAGTACAAAGCATGCAAGGATTGAGTAGATGCCTTACAACATGACTTGGTGAGCACATTCTGATTTGTACCCTACGTAAGCTTTGACTTGAGATTAGAGCTTGCAAAGCTTCCAGCAATCGACTGGCGCAGTGGTGGTGGTAAGGAAAGAGGCGGAGGGGCGGCAAAGTAAAAGATTTGGAAGGTCACTTTGAGTTGAGCTAAGAAGGAGAACCAACCTTGGCACATACTGTAGTAATCCTTCTCTGAATTTATGAAGAACTCTTTGAATCTAGGAGTCTTAGAGAAGGCTTGGAGCCTTGAGCAAAGGAAACGTAGTGTAAGCATCACAGCATGTATCTGAGTTGCCGGTGGTGCGTGTAGTTGGACAGTTCTTCAGTTGTAGGCTGTAGAGGCAGGGCATCCAAGCGTTCTGTGTAACTATCTAAATCGCTTTAGACATAATCATAGTATGGAACAGCACCCTTGGGGAGCATAATGCCTTCATAAACAAGCAACATTTTCCTGGGACAAGTTGGATAAGAGGACACATGGTCCCTCTGTCCTATGTGTAAGATGGTGGTGTCAGGGAGCGAGGAGCTAGACTGTCAGGAATGGACTCAGCACTGGTGGTGGGACTCACCTGCTGTGTGGGGCTGCAGTACCAGGGCTGACCAGCGGGTGCTCTCAGCAGCCAGAAGCTCACTCCTGCAATCAGCCAACACCTGGGGGCTGATTGCAGGAGGTGTATATAAGGAATGGCCAGACCTGCAGTCAGTGCCTTGGTGTATTGTTTCCCATGAGCCCCTGTACCTGGTATCCTGTGTTCCTGCCTATCTGCCTAGTTGCTGACCCTGCTTTGATCCTGACCTCTGCTGACCGTCTCCTGTTGAACCACTGGCTTGCCTGACCATCCTTCCTTCTGCCTAATCCTCTGTACCACGCTGCCTGTGAGTTACTGAAACCGGCTTGTGACCCTGACTATTCTCTGCCTGCTCCTCCGGTACCTCTGTCAGGAATGGACTTGCCAGTAATGGTGGGACTCATCTGCCTTGTGGGCTGCAGTACCAGGGCTGGCCAGCGGGTGCTCTCAGCAATCAGAGACTGCAGTCAGTCAAAACACCTGAGGCTGATCACAGGTGTATTTAAGGGATGGCCAGACCTGCAGTCTGTGCCTTGGTGTGTGTTTTTCTCTGGGCCCCTGTATCTTGTTACCTGCATTCCTGTTCCTGTTCCTGTCTGACTGATTCGTTGCTGACCCTGCCTGATCCGGACCTCTGCTGACTTCTCCTGTTTGATCCCTGGCTTGTGACCCCGACCATTCTCTGCCTGACCCCCTGTACCTACCTGCCCGTTAGTTGCTGTACCCGGCTCGTGACCTGACTACTCTCTGCCTGCTCCTCCTGTTCCTACCTGCCCGATTGTTATTAACCCGGCCTGCCTGACGACGCTTGCATTGTATGTATTGTTATCTGTGGGTGGTTTGGTTTGGTTCTTTTGCACTGTGTTATGTTTTAGTATTGCACTGCGTTTATGTATTGTTAGTATTAATAAATTATATTGTTTATAACATATCTGAAGCCTGCGTTTCCCTGCATCAGTTCACATACCTCTGGTCATACCCTGGAGCCCTGACAACCTCACTGCCCGCATGTTGCTGACCTGGCCTGCCTGACTACGCCTGATGCTACCCAGACGATCCATCCATCCCGCACGGATCCAGTCACTACTGTCCAAACCTGCCAGCCCCTTCACATCAGGCTTTCCCCCCGTACATACCCTCGGCGGTCCCTTCTACCACAGTTGGGTGCACTCAGGGGCCGCGACCTGGTCTCAGTCCTGTGCCAAGTCCATCCCTACCATCAGGGGCTCTGGTGAAAAGGCAGACTGGGGCTTAGAATCCTGTTCTGTGGGTCACTAGAGATCCCGCCGGGCGGTGCCTGACTGTGCCTTACGGCCCGCCTGACCATTCCACCTCTCCAGCCCTGACTATGCCTGTGTTCCTGAAGCCTGCTACTTCCCTGTGTCAGTCCACACATTTCTGGTCCCACCCGGATCCCTGACACAGACACACAAGGAGGTGCAATTAAAGGTAGGTTTATTGTACAAAAACAAGACAGAGTCTATCCAAGTCCAACAGCAACAACGGATGACTTGGTAGGACAGAAGCCAGGAAGGATGGTCGCCAGAGCCAGGGTCAGAAGCCAGGAAGGATGGTCGCCAGAGCCAGGGTCAGAAGCCAGGAAGGATGGTCGCCAGAGCCGGGGTCAGAAGCCAGGAAGGATGGTCACCAGAGCCAGGGTCAGAAGCCAGGAAGGATGGTCGCAAGAGCCAGGGTCAGAAGCCAGGAAGGATGATCGCCAGAACCGGGGTCAGAAGCCAGGAAGGATGTTCGCCAGAGCCAGGGTCAGAAACCTGGAAGGATGATTGCCAGAGCCGGGGTCAGAAGCCAGGAAGGATGATCGCCAGAGCCGGGGTCAGAAGCCAGGAAGGATGGTCGCCAGAGTCGGGGTCAGAAACCAGGAAGGAGTCTTGCCAAATCCGAGTCGGTATCCAGGAGAGCAATGAGAACTAAACAGGAGCTAGCTGCTGTGCAACAGACAGGACACGAATGCAATGGACAGCTACAAACAGAAAACTTATATGTGATAAGCCGCCACCTCCTGGGGGAGGAGCCGCAGAGGCTGAAAGCATAAAGGATCCCACAATGCTTTGCAGACACCTAAGATGGATGCCAGCACATGGAGCAGCACAAGCCCTGAGGAAAGGTAGGACCTTGACAGGTGGTCCAAACGTAAAGGTGGCAGCTGCCTATAGTACAGGGTAAGGTTTTATGGGTTAGAACCTGGGAATGGTCCTTACAGAGAACTGCCAGTGGATTGGGCCAAAAGATGAGTCATTAAACCCCCAATGGAAAAAAGTTTACTATGTCTGCATTGGAATTCAGATCTCAACTGTCCAGAGTGCCCCTAATGCCCTACGTGCGAGGGACTAATTTTGAAACTAGATAGGCACCTTATAGGCTCGGAAAGCTTGATTTCATTTTGTTTAATTCCAGAGAAGGAGTTATCCCACAGTCAGAAAGAGGGACAAATTGCTCCTAGCAGTGGATATTAGACTAGAATTACCCCTCCATCAAGAAGAAGGTTTGCCTAAATTCTAGAATTGGGCTCTGGAAGCATCTAATACATGTTTGTCAAGGTTTCAGAGACACATCTCTGTGAATATGCTAGTTAAGTCATTCTATAACCAAAAAGACATTCTACACAAGATCAAGTCAAGGAGAGCAGTGGATTCAGAGTTGGAGTGGGTTCACCTGGGAGTGTTTCCTGAGTATTATGATCTCTATGATCATCACTAAGGGTGATCTCTGGCATGGAAAAATTAAAAAGACTGAACTGTGATCTTTTGGACTTTTACATCATTTTCCTCCTACTTACTGCTCTGTCTATGGAAGTGAAGGTTATTCTTCCCAATGATATACAGATAGAAGGAAAAAACTTACATTACCCAGCCTTTACCAACCTTTCTACCCCAAAGGAACCCATAAAATAATCTCCAAGTCTCCGGGAACCATGACTAAAACCAATTCATTGGGGGTCAGTGGAAAATGCCACTTACATTGATGGCCAGTTGAAAGAATACCATACTTACAGTGGTTGTCAGCATGCCACCCTTACAGACAGCTAAAAAGATCCTTGGTGGTTCTGCCAAGTAGCATAGATCTGGAAACTATGTAGGAACCATCAAATGGAAGATCAATCAGCTACAGCTCAAGAAACCCCTAGCAACTTTTGGGGTAGGTGCAGTGTGGTGCCGAAGTGCAGAAAGCAATGTATTGAAGAACTTGCAGGACAGGCGACAGCCCAGCAGGGTGGAATGCCAGTACAGGAACTCATAGTCAATGCAGAAGAACGTCAGTGGTAGTAAGCCTGAGCTGAGGAGAGCGCTTGCCA